CCCTTTTTTGGTATTTCCACACCCCCTGTAAAATTTTTATATAAAATCGACAAACTAAATATATTTTTACAATAAAATCAACATACATATATTATACAATAATATAAACATCAATCAAATTAGCCAAAGAAATTCATGTACGTACATGTACGTACGTACATATGTAAATAACTAGCACTACATATTTATTTGCCATTAGAGATGCGTTGTTTTAAATAATACGTTTATATTGGATATTTCACGGCTAAAAATGAATCGAGCTACTGATTTGGCGAAACTTCATACATTTTTAAATAGTAATTCGATTCTATATTAATTGTTACTATCTTGCATATTAAAGACGACATATACGTAATTTATGCATTAAACACTATCTATAATTATTTACTATTCAAATCCGCCTGCCTAATAATTAATTTCAATACACAAATCATGTGTTATTAATACAATAACTCAAAAATATGTGTGAGCTCTTAAAACTAAAACTTACGCTAAATATATTACGGGTTTAGTACATATATATAGCACTATAAGTGTGAGATCTGTGCTTCACATGAAGACAAAAATCGTGTAGATATGAAGAATTAATTCGGTATTAATAAAGATAACAAAAATCTTAATAGAAAAATTTTGCTTTTCGTTAAAAAGCATCGCTCATCGTTAAGTAAGATCGTGTGTAAAAATCAATAAAATTTACAATTAAAGGCGTGGTTAGTAAAAGTACAAGAAAATGGTATATATCATTAAAGACTTACGTACATATTATGCAGAATCTTTGAGTACTGGGTTTTCATAAGTTGATAAAATTTAACAATAATTGCTTTTTATAAACTTGTTTAATAAAGTGCAAAATGTTACGTAACGAATAAGTGATCCAATAAATGTTGTTATAATGTTATTCTTTTCAAATTAGTTAACCAACTGATTCATGAAAAGAAATAAAAAAGTACAGTAACAGAAAACTATTCTATCCACAACTTACATAAAGCCAAATTTAATATTTTATACAATTTCATATCAATCTGACTACCAGAATTCGTTCAATTCATATCAAAGGCCTATCTATCCTACAAACTATGGTTAGAGCAAGTTCTACTATTATGTCCGATATTATGGCATATGCCACATTTTCTACTAGTTGTTTTCGATTCTTCCAGCTTAAATGCTGAAGGAATTCTTTGAGTAGATAATTTAGTATTATTCCTTGATCCAGCTGGTCGTCCTCGAGTATGTGCAACAGTTGGGTCTAATAGATGCATAGGTTGTTCATTAATCATTTTCCAAAGCTCATCTCGAGCCCTTGTTTGTTGTAGAACCATCCAGGTTTTATATTGTTGATGAAATTTTTCAAGCACTTGCTCTAATCAATCATCTTCGGCTAAATCTTGTTGATCTTTATCAATCCACCATTGTTGATTAATGTCATGAATATTTAATATTTGGTGGGCCACAAGACGACTTTTGATCGTATGGACACAGGGCAAACCAGTGCAAGTTGGTAAAGGATTAGCAGATAATGCTTTGATGTACTGCTCGTACACTTTTTTAGTGCAAAGAAAGAAACTTTAGTAACTAGTTCACGATAAAATGGTATATTTTGTTCATGTGGGATCCACATTTTTTCTTGGGCAGCCATCATCTTAGTTTCGTTATGTTAATTTTCAAGTAACAATAAAAGTTTTTCATATACTGTGTTGAGATCTCCTGTTGAAACATGAATGTATCGTTTTAAAACTGAATATGCACCCTCTACCCGTGAGGTTACGGTATTACCCAGATGAAGATACTTGTCAGTCCACACACTTGCAAATCATTCTTTAAATGGTAACTATATATTTTGAATGTATTTTATAGTGAATGAATTTTCACCATAATTAGTGCATAACTTCTGCCATTGAATTGTGAAATCTTCTTCCGTCTTTGACCTCATTACGTTTGTCCAACCTTGGAGAAATACTTTCTATTCTTCCTCAGTATAAAAATGTTGTTTACATTTGCTTATTATATTTTTTCAATGTGCTATTGATAAAGAAAATTTTTTGATTCAGGAAATACTTTTTCAAGTGCATTAACAAGTGCTAGTTCACAATCTGTAATGATAACCTTTGGTTTGTCAATTCTATTAAACAAGCAGAATACCCATATAAGTGCCCATTCGTAATCTTCTTTATTCTCATTTTTAAGAAACACAAAGCATGAAAAAAAAGTTATATTAAAACTTGTTACACCCACGATGTTTAATAACAGCATCTTGAATTTGTTCATTTTATATGTGCAATCCATTAATAAAACAGTAGGATATGCCTGAGTTAACTTAATAGATTTGTTGTGAGAGAAAAAAAGATGAGTTATATGATCCTCTGAATCGCACATAAAATCGTATTCAAATAGACCTTTTTTAAGGTTATCTAAAAGCGCTTGAATGGGTGTTCTTCCCTGAAGATATTCTTGACAAAGCTTTTACGAGCATTGTAAATATCCTGTGCTGTTGCTATAATAGAAGATCTATTTTGGTTTAAAGAAGCTAAAATTTGCTGCGGAAAAACACTAGCTCTAGACATTGTGTTCATCTGTTCATAAGCTTGCTTGTTTAGTCTACGAAGAGATGGGTGTGCTGATGGGTCTTTAGAGGGTTCATAGATATGTTTTGGGTTACTAATAGACAAATTCTACAAGTTATTAGATTCTTTTTGTCCACAAAGAGCGAAGGGACATTCTATAAGCTTTGAGCTAGTTTTCCTAAGAC